GAGGTACTAATTAGTACATTTTAGGTACATTTTTTTAGTAAGTGGTATAATTTAATTCGCGATGGTACACCCGCCATTTTGACTCTCACCCGAAATATAATAGCACTAACAGTATTTATGCAGCTTGAGACTATGGTGGTTCATTATTTATAGAAAAAATATTGCCCAATCTTTCAATAACAGTTTGTAAACAACAAAAAACTTTTATCATTATTGAGTAATGTCGTTTGAACTACATTAGAACAGCGCTAGGTACGCCATAGCATTGTAAAAATATTTGAGGCCATGAAACAAACACGAGGCCGGTTTGAAATTGAAAATTTCGCAACGATTCGATATAATTACGACGACAAAGTTTTCTTAGGTTATTTCGTAACAAATAGAAGTGATTATTTTTAACCGCGGTACGTTTATTGCTTGAAAACGTTCGAAAATTTATGTAACAATAACATTATCGTTGGCAAAACCTCCTGCTCTTTATAATGCTAAATACTATGGTTGAAATAGACAAAGTTTGTGAATGTATAGTGGAAAAACAACATTGAATTGATACAAAACGCATGTCGTTTTAGCTTAATAGAGGTTGACGTCAAGATAGACGTAATTTTAAAGTATTTACAAACAAACATGTAGATAGATAGGAGTCAAACTTTGTAGAGTTTAAATATCCTGGTGGCATGGCAATCGCTTCGTAGACAAGGCAGTATTTATAATTCTGCACTGTAAAAAACTCTCTACTTGCTTTATGAGAGCTTAAAATTATTATTTTATGTACCCATAACTCAACTTTATCAACAAAAAATATGAAACCTGGCACAGTAAAATATTACGATGTGTAATCTTTGTTGAATTCAAACACAAAATTATTTATTACATCCTATAACTGTAAAACACCTTAGTTTTTTACTAAGTTTTCTTTAGTTAGGGATTAATAACTATTTGGATCATTTGTCACATGTTTACGTAACGAATCCTTTCATCAATCGTCTACAATTAGTGTTTAAAACGGGTTCAATGTAACTAAGGACAGTACGAGATGAAATCGGTTATGACGAGTCCCTTTTACTCAGATCTATCTCGCTATCTGGAATAAACACAATTGTATTCACATCGAATATTCCGGCATAAACGAGTGTAAACAACAATGCTTTACACCTCGACAAATGCGGGTAATACTGCATTAAACAGGATAAAAGTTATTCTTTGTGGTTTGCTCAAGCAATTACTTTTTGTTACATTTGAAACCGCAAGTTCAGATACATTGACGTAAAAATATGTAAAAAATGAATAAAAAAGTTGTACAAATAAAAAGTGTGAATGATAAAAAGGTATAAACACCAACGTATCAAAACGTTGAAAACTCGAGAAATATCAAATAAACTCATAGATAAAGCACAGCAGACACAATTGTTTGTTTAGATTGTTTTAACAGAGACAATAATATACTGGAGTACTTGAACACTTGACTACCATTGTTATATTTCAAAACAACGTATACCAATCAAGGAAAATAATTGAAACAATAAACTGGAGACAGAAGAAACTAGGAAATGTGCATAACATTTCATAAGGAGGAAAATAGCCTAGATAAATTTACATTATTTTGGCAATTATAGCACAAAATGTTTTCTACATATGAGAAACCAACAATTATCGTCGATGATACATCTAGACAACGTATTATAACCATTCTCACTGATGCGTCATATATTCTAAACAACTGTATCCTCTGTATTAATTAAAGCCGTCTAAAGTTGGACCGACAGAAAATATGGAAATTAAAACATTTAATAAAGATAGAAGACAAGATAATTAATTCTAATTAAAGAGTTCATGACAATTAAAAGGTCAAGGGCTGGTTTAATAGTAGTAACAAATTGTGATCACTAGTCAGTTTTTAAAATAAACCGGAAACAGAAAGTATTGCGTAATTTCTTACGCTCGACAACATAAACAATACCATAGACGCGAGAAAACAGATTATCTATATTTACATCCATTACTTGATTATCTTCGGAGGAGGAGACTAATGGGAAGGGGAAATATCCCGGTGGGTGGGCAAAGAATTGCAGTTTCAAATATTCCTTGTGGGCACTATTTATACCATAAAAGCATTATAATTTATAAATGCCCATTGTTTTAGCTAAACGAACGGTACCGTAAGTGATTAGCTAAATCGATTAGATAAAACGCTGTGAAGTGAGTCTCATACCTATATAAGTATGCGTGTATTGCTAGCTTGCCGTGAACTTGACCGTGAGGAAAGGCGTCGGTTAAGCGGGCACGTGATCATCCGTGAAGCCCCATAATGTCCGGCTCGCCTGCCTATGTTCTATTTATAAAAAAAATATTACGACGTAGATAATCGCTTTTCGACCGTAAAATTATTTATTATTAAACTGATCATCCCTCGCACCCGAAGTTTTTGTGTGTACTTTTTTATAGTTTAAAGGTTGTCGTTTTAAACATAATTCCTTTTTTGCTTCCATGAAATATGTCGTATGCATCGTTTACGTAAAAAACTACAAAAGCAAAACTCCCCTAGTCTGATCATAACCGCGCTATTTTAAAAGATTCAAGCCTGAGAGTACTTTAGGCGTTTCCAAATCGTTCAGCTGCTTATGCACATCCAAATCTGCAGAATCGTGCCCGTTCTGCCTATTCAGATAATTAAAAATATAGAAAAAAAACAAAATCAGGTGCATATATCAAGATAGACACGTGACCCAGATATGAGCTTTGTATCCGATGATTTCGCGAGCCGAAGCTCCGACTAAAATAAACTCACGGGACCGCAGCCCGTATCTCGTGGCAAAATCACATTTTATGTATTTATATAACTCTTTTTTTTTCAAGAAATTTCGAACTTTGGACCGTTTTATTATTGATGTTTTGGCAATGAAAATAGGAAACACGTAACTACAACGGTTCCTCGAACCTTTCACATTCCCTGATAAAAGCTATAAACTATTTTCAGAGCATTTTCAATTTTTTCAGTTTAATATACGTTTATTTGTTAAATAAGTTAATATGAATATTATTCATTTTTAAGTTTAACACTTATCTCTGCAAACCTCAATACTTAAGTTAAACTTGTTAGTGCTTTTATTACCGAGTTTCTACTGCACGAAAAAAATATGATTTTTCTTGATACAGAGAGAGTAACATGTTTTAAAATCTTTCGCCAGTGGTACCATTGTTATAAAATATAGTAGACAGCTGGGAGAAGATATTTGATGTCAACATATTTGGAAAAAAGCCAAAAAAAAAAAATTCTCACTGTCTAACATAGGTCTATTATTTACAGGCCTATACAGGACAATATAGTCTACAATTTTTTATTTACTATTCTTATTCTTACATCCTAATAAAATCAAAGAAATGAGAGATACAAAAAAAAAAAACAAATGTTTGTGTTATCACATGAAAATCTAAATGCCATGTAAGGTATAAAATAAATGTTACTAGTATTGTTGATTGGCAATACATACATTTTAATTTCTGTTTTGTTTTAGTTGCATATGACAAATTCCTACAAAATAATTGTTAAAAAATAATAACAAATATTACTAACCTTCTTCTGGACTGAGATCTCCAAACTTTACACCACCACTGAAAGAAAAAAATAAAATGAAACCATTTGAATATGTTTTAAAATAATATTTCAAAAGATAAAAATTCTATCCAGCATTCAAAATAAATGTGTATACTTTTTCTAAGAATGTACAATATCATTTAATTTTTACTTTACATGTCAATACTTTAAACTTTTCATTATTAATTTAAAATAATAATAACATAGTTAACTATGCTTATATAAGTTTCATCTTTAATTTTGTTTTTTTAAATATTTTTTATCAATTTTCTAAAACAAATTTATAAAGTTTGAGACTTAATGCTCTTGCCAAGGTTGCTTCGTACCTTAGTAGCACGGTAGCCGTTTCCGGCACTCGGAACACCTGGAAATAAATACAATGTGGAACCATGTTGTATTGGATCTCCAGTTGGAGAAACCATAGGGACAAATCTTCGAGAATTTTGGACATTACCTTACCTTCAATTATCATTGATTTACTTTTAAAAAAACATTGTAGGACAATGAAAAAGTTAATAAAATAAGGGTATAATTTTATTTTTCCTAATGGGAAGCTTTTCACACATGAAATATTTCAACCTACTTGAAAATTAATTGAATGTAGAATAAAGATAATCCTTATAAATATGTTCATTTAATACACTGTAAATATTAGTTGTTTTATATATCTTTTACAATCTTAAATTATTGAAACTAAAACCAAATTTGATTTATTAAAAATGGGGCAAATACAAAAACTGCGACGTGTAAGTTTTCAGAATGTAGTAATTTTTTTTTCAATAATTCTTAATTTCATTTGTATTAAATATAAAATTAAGATATGTATAATTAAATTGATTTTTCTTACCTTCCATCCTAAGTTTTCGAAGAAAGTACTGAGACGGGATTGTCCAGTTGTTTTACCGCCACAAGGTCCTGCATAGGTTAACAAAATACAATGTGGATTTTGTATAGTATCAGTCCACGTGCAAGACAATATTTACATTTTCTATTAAGACATAACAATCAAAAGCGTTACACGTATTTATACATTAAATTAGAAAGTATCTTATAACTTAAATTAATAATTTTATAAAAATTACTTACCTCCAGTTAAAACCAATCTATACACAGATTTATGGGATTGATTCGCCATTTTGATTTATCGGAATTATAAATATGAATATAAATAAAAACTAAATTACACTACCAAATGTATTTGTACTACAAATATCATAAAATTGTTAAATGTACAATAAAATTAGATGAGGCCATTACAGCGCAAAGCGCTACGCGCATCGCCTGACAGGCGTGCGAACAAATGAAGGAAAAATAAGAAATCGAACAAGAGATTGACTCAATAACTCGCTCAAACAGAACGAATGAACTTCGACCAACTTCAACTTTTGATTGACGTCAACTTAAAAAGGGTTGCTGCAATTAGTCTTTTCAAAACTCCGGGGTTAAAAATTAAAAACATTGGTTTGTTGTGAAAAAGTAGGGCATTGATTCATTTACAACCAATGATAACAAAAAAACCGTTGTATTAAATGCTCTAAGCGATCTCTTATAAGCAGAATCCCGTTTATGCTAGTGAAGTCTTTCTTATCTCCTCCACCACGGTCTGTCCTCTACATGAATATACATATGTACATCAGTAATTTTTTAAATTCGCATGTACCGTTTTCTGTCATTTTTCCAATAAATCACAAAATTGCGACAATGCCGAAACTGTGTGGCAACATTTCCTAATGAATAAGTGACAGTACTTCGTCATTCGTTCAGTAAGAATTCACAACTAGGCGTGAGTCGTTACGTCATTTTCGAGAAACGTAACGAAACTAGTGATTTGTTCGGTGTCACATGTTTCAAAACTAGTGATTTTTG